GGAGAAGAGAGGCAGGCAGAAAATCCACAGCTCCGGCTGGAGTGGACGGAGCACTCCCCAGGCATGACAGCTGCACACAGATGTCATCCACCCCCCTGCTGGGCTCCTGGAGACCGTGAGCGCCAACTGAAAGAGCAACTGGGAAGCCAGACATCCAATGTACCTGTTACACCAGAAAGGTAATTTTGAAGGGCAGCTCTGCTGTGTGTTTCAGAGAACCAGAAGAGAAGCGCCTGCATATGGCTGTTTTGCTGTCCCTCTTTTCCTGTCTGTCTGGGCCCAAGCTCAACAGAAATAACACCACTCAGCCCCGGGCATGCTCACAGCGGCCACACATGTGCCCTGCAGGCCTCAGATCAGGGCTCGCCGACAGGAGCCGCGGTCCTCAGGGGATGGGCCGGCGAAGGAGCAGCACCGAGACACAAAGGAACCCATCGGACACGTGTAACTGAAAGTCTGTAATTGCCCTTTCTAATTTGGGAGCCATGTGGCTGGACTCCACACTGCACCGCGACCCCGTCGGCCGGGGTGCTCCTTTGCTGGACCACAAGGGGAGGGGATGCTTCGCTTTGCTCCTTCACCAAAATATCGTGTTCCATTCACGGGAAGCTCTTTCCTGATGGGCATGTGGCTCTCTGGTCAACATCAGTGTTCAAGCGCCTGAGAGGATTTAACTATTCCTGCCAGAGTGATTCCAGGATCTTAAGGGGCCTTCTCAGATCTATCTGATAATACAAAGGTGCATAATCCTTTAAAAGACAAAAAGTCACCACACACACTCCTTCCTAACCTGGTTCTAGAGGATTACAGCTTTGAAGTACATTCTTCTTTGAAGTGAGGGGAGCTCAGTCCCCCTCTGGCCACAGAGCCTGGCTAAATCCAGGCCTGGGCGGCGATCCAGAGAGGGCACGGAGCTGGGCTGGAGTGCCGGGCGTCCTGGCCACCCTCCCCAACCACACCGCCTCCTACAGGAAGCAAAACGACAGGGAACAGCGTCATCCGATTCTCAGGAGAAATCAATCAGAAACCACCGCTGAAATCATCTTGACCAACAGAGTAAAAGCACACGCTGATACAGAAAAGTATTTAAAAATACACCTAGGCAAGGTCAAGCAAAAATACTTTTGTTTTGAGACCAAAAATAAATGGTCTCTGGAGCCTGACGGCCTGGGTGGAAATCCTGGGCGTGGCACTGACCATTCCTGTGACTGAGCAAGTTACCCAACTGCTCCGCGCCTTAGTTTCCTTCTGCGGAAAATCAGAACACTAGCGCTCCTTTCTCTTAGCTTAGTATGAGGATTAAGAACCTTTCTTTACTAAAGAAATAAAACCTATGGCATACATACGATGCACAGATGGGGTTTAGAGACTACCTAAAGTGAGCGACTGAACGGAACTGAACTGAAGTCATCTTGCGATATTCTCTGACACTTTATATATCAAAGTCAATACCTCAGCAGGAACGGGCGTCATTCCTTTGGCTCAGGTCCAGCTGGAACCAAAGCAGTGTCACCAGCCTAGCTTAGTCTCATCAGGCCCTCTCCTTCCTGACTTCTTCAGAGCTCACTTTATCCAGCAGAGCCAGATGCCCCAGTGCGCTCCCAAGGAGACGGGAGAGGCCAGTGAGTAGAGATGGAAACTCAGGCACACACACTTGCTTTATTTATCACTTTTGCTGTGCTGTCTTGTCACAACACTTCTGAATAAACTTTGAATGTTTTTCTCCTCGAAACCCTGACTAAGGAAAGTCAACTGGGGTGACAGCTGTGTTGTCAGCATCCTGGTCCGGATTTCCTTAACAGGCTCAAGGCCTCTGTCTGCGCCTTACCTCTGTGGAGGGATGTTTAATGCAGAAGAAATTTTTTAAAGCCTCATCATTGATTACCTTAAAAATTTATGGAGACACATTTATCAACGATCCGGAAAAATTTTTTTCTGAAATTGAACACACACACCCACCAACCACCACGTCTATAATTACCAACTCAGACTTCTGTCTCCATTAACATCTGGCATGAGAGAAATTAGGGAAATTAGAAAGAATACAGACATGAAACCAGGCAGCCTAGAACAGTGAATGCACTGGGACTAGCAGTCAGGCGATTTGAATTCTGGTACAAGATCTGTCACCAGCTAATGCTACCCCACCCAACTCAGACTCAGATTCTTCACTGGAAAACAGGGCTAGCTAAGGCCCCCCTCAAGCTGGAAAATGTTATAACTCTTCAACCCATGATTCCTCTGGTGCTACAATTTCTCCAAAGCACGAAGAAGGCAGAGAAGGTAAAGAAGCATAGGCAAGTTATTCCAGACTCCGTAACATTTCTTAGAACCATTGAGTCCATCATACTTTTTAACCCTGAATCACAAAAATTAAAAAAGCCTCCTGCCAACCTGGTCTCTCCACACTGCTAGCTGTGCTCAAGGAAGTCGAGACAGTGCCAGAGCTCATCTCCAACATGCTTCTCATTCAGTATTGGAATCAGATCTCATCGCTGGGCAAGATTTCATAGTCTGACAATCCAGGTGATGCGGCTGAAACTTCATCTCAAGTTCGCCTAAAGAACAGTCCTGCCTAAATCTGGGGCGCTAAAATAATATAACCTACCCCAGGACTCTCTCGTAACCACCCAGCTCTGCTGTACCAACGGCTGGCACCCATGCTGGTGCCAATGATGGCTATCACAGGTCTCTGCAGACCACTGCCTTGCTGAGTTGGTGCTGTGCTGTGTTTAGTCACTCAGTCGTGTCTGACTCTTTGTGACCCCATGGACTATAGCTCTCCAGGCTCCTCTGTCCATCAGGATTCTCCAGGCAAGAATGCTGGAGCGGGTTGCCATGCCCTCCTCCAGGGGATCTTCTGAAACCAGGGATCGAACCCAGGTCTCCCGCACTGCAGGTGGATTCTTTACCATCTGAGCCCCCAGGGAAGCCCAAGAATACTGGAGTGGGCAGCCCATCCCTTCTCCAGGGGATCTTCCCGACCCAGGAATCACACCAGGGTCTCCTCATTGCCAGCTGAACTACTAGGGAAAACCTTGCTGAGTTCAGTGCAGTTCAGTCACTCAGTCGTGTCTGACTCTCTGCGACCCCATGGACTGCAGCACGCCAGGCCTCCCTGTCCATCACCAACTCCCGGAGTTTACTCAAACTCATGTCCATTGAGTCGGTGATGCCATCCAACCATCTCATCCTCTGCCGTCCCCTTCTCCTCCTGCCTTCAATCTTTCCCAGCATCAGGGTCTTTTCCAAGGAGTCAGTTCTCTGCATCAGGTGGCCAAAGTATTTTCCACATCAATCCTTCCAACGAATATTCAGGACTGATTTCCTTTAGGATGGACTGGTTGGATCTCCTTGCAGAGTTTACCCTCCCTGCGGCTTCTGCAGCAAAGCCTCTCAGCCCAAAATACCTCAGGTCCAACCTATTTCAGACCTGTAATATCAACAACTCCAGAAAGCTGGATTGGAATTTCAATTAAATTATCTGCATTTTATCACAACTTATAGTTACCAAAGACCATGGTGAAACTAAAGGACTAACGTGGCACCATCCACCCAAGGACACACTCCTCTCAAGGAGGTCCCCTTAGAGACACTCCTCTCTCGGGCCCCTTCTAGAAACATCCCCTCAGAGATGTGCTCCTCCCTCAGGGACATCCCCTCTTATAGATCCAGGAAGTGTAAATGCGGCTTCATCAGCCAGTTCTAATTCACGCATTTGTTCCAGCTCCTACTCTGTACCAGGCACGATGCTAGTGTTTTAATCCATATTAACTCTTTAAATCCCATAGCCACACAGCATACTAAATATCATTGGCCCCGCTATACAAATACACAAAAGGGGTTTCAGAGAGAATAAGCGGCTTATCCAAGAAACTCAGACCACAGTCTTCTGCCTCTGAGACTGTGTGACCCAAGAAGACAATGAAGACCCATGGTCTATTTCACATGGCAATGCAGAGCTCCGGGGTTACCATGCACCAAGCTTGAATGTGCTCATCCAGTGAACTATAAACCTAAAAACTGATAATAGGAAATGCTTAACACAGGACAGACTGATCACCAAAACATGCTCAGTAGAAACCTGCAATATGAATACTGACTTCTAAAAAACGCATTGACATTTTTTCATACAACTTTAAAAGTTCACTCCCGTTTACCCTCCCCTTCACCTCCCCAGTCAGGAAAAACATAGTAAAACTAAATTCATAAAATCATTAGGAAGTTTAGCATTCTCTGCCCACTCATGGAGATGTTGAAGGACAGGTAAATGACCCCAGAGTGATGAACAAGAAGCGGTGAAATGCTGGATAATCCATAAAAAGACAGGGAATCACTAGAGGATAGCACGACACATAAATCCTATGTAACTTCTCATTTTGTTCCAAGCAGGCTTAAAACATAAAGTAAAGAGAGAAAATAAATATGGCGTTGACCAAGGGATCAAACCTATGAAGCCTCCTTATCATCAGACCCCCTCGCACTGTCTCAGGAGGACGTCCCGGCAGAATGGAACCTCAAAGAGCCACGGGCCGAAAGAGACTGTAGTCACTGTCTAAAGCGACAGCCTCAACGGACAATCAAGGAATCTCCGGCCTAATCAGAGACCCGCCCCCGTCATCAAGCAGCGCAGGAGGCCGAAGGCAAGCCGAGCTCTCCCGACACCCCTCCCAGCGCCGGGCCGGGCCACGGCACCACGGCTGCACCCTGGGCGCTGACGCCCACTCAGCACCCACAGAGTCTGCGTGGGGCCCAGTTCACCTGTGGGAATGCAAGACACGCGGCCAAGCAGAATGTCCAAAGGCTGCCAACTTGGCAAACCACTAAACTGTACTCTACCTGCCCCGAAAACCCAAACTGCTTTTCACTCACGCCATTCACTTATATCCATGGAAACCGGCCCAGTGCTCTCCAAATAGGTTCCACACTCAGATTTCCCAAAGGGGGAAAAAAATGCTACAGAAACCACCAGCACGAAATTAAGAGATCAGGACCAGTACCTTCCCCAGAAAGCGATCTCTGGGGTGCCTTTTGCGTAGATGGAGTTACTGGAGCCACTCAGCCCATTGGTGACCCCACTGGAATAGCCCATCACTATCCCGCCATCTGCCGAGATGCTCAGGATGTCCTGCTGTCCTCCCACCGACGTCCTCTCGAGGAACTGCCCGCCTTCCTTAATGCGCTGCTGTATCATTGGAGTGAGGGGCATTTCAAAGCTGAAGTAGCTATCAGGCTCTGAATACAAAGTCTCCAAGGACTCAGCACTGTAGTATAAAGAGGTGTTGTCCAAAATGGTCTCGAACTGGGAGCTGTACACGTCAGTGGAGTCTTCTGCGTATCCAGACCCAAGGATGTCATCATCTCCACCCCGCAAGTGCTCCGCTTGCTCGAGAATCCTGGAAGGCACATCGAAGTAAAGAATTTCAATATTAGGTTAATTTTTTCATTTTACTTTCTCCTCTCCAACCATATGAAAAAGGTAGCAGTCTGTAGAGCTAGCACCTGTCTTCATTTGGTTTATGTCAATATATTTAATCTATAGGTGGAGTACATCATGCGAAATGCCAGATGAATCACAAGCTGGAATCAAGATTGCTGGGAGAAATATCAATAACCTCAGATATGCAGGTGACATCACCCTTATGGCAAAAAGTGAGGAACTGAAGAACCTTTTGATGAAAGTGAAAGAGGAGAGTGGAAAAGCTGGCTGAAAACTCAACATTCAAAAAACGAAGATCATGGCATCCAGTCCCATCACTTCATGGCAAATAGATGGGGAGACAATGGAAACAGTGACAGACTTTATTTTTGGGGCTCCAAAATCAATGTGGATGGTGACTGCAGCCATGAAATTAAAAGACGCTTGCTCCTTGGAAGAATAGCTATGACTAACCTAACAGTGTATTGAAAGTCAGAGGCATCACTTTGCTGACAAACGCCTATATAGTCAAAGCTATGGTTTTTCCAGTAGTCATGTACAGATGTGAGAGCTGGAGTATAAAGAAAGCTGAGCACCGAAGAATGGACGCTTTTGAATGGTGGTGTTGGAGAAGACTCTCAAGAGTCCCTTGGACTGCAAGGAGATCCAACCAGTCCATCTTAAAGGAAATCAGTCCTGAATATTCATTGGAAGGACTGATGCTGAAGCTCCAATACTTTGGCCACCTGATGGGAGGAGCTGACTCGTTGGAAAAGACTCTAACACTGGGAAGGATTGAAGATAGGAGGAGAAGAAGGCAACAGAGGATGAGATGGTTGGATGGCACCACTGACTCGATGGACATGAGTTTGAGCGAGCTCTGGGAGATGGTGAAGGACAGAGAAGCCTAGCGTGCTGCAATCCATGAGCTCTCAAATAGTCAGACACAACTTAGTGAATGAACAACAACAAAAACAAAATGTCAATACATTTGGGAAGGAAGATATCATAGAAAGATGTTCAGGTTGAAAACACTCTTAGCACACACATGCTGGGCTATCCTCTATACAATTTAATATACTTTCAAGCTAGCTCCTAGTACGTGAACACTCCAAGTCCAACAGACATGTGAATAAAATGTTAAACTCTCATTTAGCCAACTGAACTCCACAAATTTAAATTACAGCTACTATCAGTCCTAATATCAATAGAAGATGATAAATATATCGTGTAAACTTGGCAGACTAAAAATACACTTGTGCTTAGTCAGTCGTGTCCGACTCTTTGCGACCCCATGGACTGCAGCCCACGGGGACTCTCCAGGCAAGAATACTGGAGTGGGCTGCCACGCCCTCCTCCAGGGGATCTTCCCAACCCAGGGATCGAACCCAGGTCTCCCACATTGCCGGTGGATTCTTTACTCTCTGAGCCACCAGGGAAGCCCAAAAAACACACCAAGCTTTCATAAGTCCTGTTACTATTCTCTGATTAAATAAGACCAACAGCCCTCAAGAACTCAAGGGCTGCCCCCTGGTGACAAGAAGACAAGACTGCAGAGTGGGTTAGGCTGAGAAACAGCCAGTGAAGGCTCTTTGCGACCCTGCAGACTGTAGCCGCCAGGCTCCTCTGTCCACAGAAGTTTTCAGGCAAGTGTACTCAAGTGGGTAGCCATTCCCTTCTCCAGGGGATCTTCCAGACCCACGGATCGAACCTGGGTCTCCCGCCTTGCAGGCAGATACCTTACCATCTGAGCCGCCAGGGAAGCCAAATTACTGGTCCACCCCAAACCAAATAGCATTCTGGGTCCCAGGTCTCCATGGCTCCTCAGAGTGCTGGCAGTGAAGCGGGACGCTCAGGGAGGAAGCCCTCAGCCAACCCTGCTCACTCACCCCCCACCCGCCCCCAGACACACGGGGGAGTGTCGCTCCTTAAAAGGCCTCCGGGTCGCGCAGGCTCCAGGAAGCACACTCCCTTGGCGACAGCATTCCTCCTTTCCCAGCCCATGTGGCACCCTCCGCCTAGACTATTCTCCCCATTCTCTGCCCCGCAAACTCCGACTGAGTCCTGAGGTCTCAGCCTAATTACCCCTTAAGCAGGAGGCCTTCCCCAAGCCATCAATTGAATCAGCCTCTCTCCTGCAGTCAAGGTGTCCCTTCTTTTCCTTTATAGAACCCAACACAATTGGAGGCCCCATCATTATTAGTATGTCGACCTTCTGCGGCAAACTTCATGAGGTCAGGGACCAGAGGTCATGTCTATTCTCCATGTTTTTTTTTTCTTTCCTGGCCACATCACAGAGCTTGTGGGATCTGAGTTTCCAACCAGAGAAGGAACACATGCCCCCTGCATAGGAGGCACAGAGGCCTAATCCCGGGACCATCAGGGACTCCCCAGGGCCATATCTATTTTGAACATTCCTTTCATGCCCAGCATCTCTAGCCATATCAAGGACACAGCAGACAACGGAAAACCATTTGTGGAAGAACAGGAAGGAAAGGAGGAATGAACGAGTAAACCTGCAGAAGCGCAGACCCCAGTGGGAGGGTAATTACGGAGCCACGTGCCACATAGCAGGGCGCCTTCTGAGGGAAGTCTGGAGGCTCTCTGTGAAGGGGGTGGGGAGGGCAGGGAGAGCAGTCCTGACAGCGGATCTGTGAGTCAACCGCGGAGCAAAAGGCATCTCCTTACAACAAACAAGCAAAACCCTTCAGGCACGACACACGTTCTCCTGTGAACTACCAAAGGTGGAGGGCTGACGGGAGACGAGATGGCACACATTTGAAATGACTTTGCCGAAAGGAGCTCTCTACGGTCAGACCACGAGCTAAGGAAGTGCAGACGGACACGCACGGCTTCCACCTCTCCAGGCTCTCAGCTGGTACGGATGCCAGAAGTGTAGAGGAAGTCCAGGAAATACCATACGATGCCAGGTTTCATCATCAGGGCCATAATTCTAACAAGCTGCTTGCGAGAAGGGAGTCCCATGTCAGGGCCATGGAACAACTGGACTCTGACCTCCTGACGGCCTCTCTCAGCCTAGAAAACTGAGGCAGCCCACGCCAGAGCCTCTGCATTCCTACACGTACAGGGGCTGTTTGCAGACAACAGGGCTGTAGCCCGAAGAAGTGCCTGAGCTAGGCTGCAACGACTACAGGATGTGTCAAAAGAGTCCAGACCTTTCCACAATTATCTTTCCTTATGAAAGATAACTGTGGGGTGTTTAGTTATGGTGATGCTAGAGAACTTGAAATATGTCAAATACCAAAAAAATAAATAAATAAAGCAGAAATGGGTCCGTCCGCCCAGTTTAGGGTTCACGGCCTCCCCACATGGACAACGTTAGAAGCAACGCAGCACACGGTCACTTCTCTTCCCCTCTGCGGAGGACGTCGAACCTCACTGTGGAGCACACGCTGCAGACATCACGGGCAGCAGGACCCCAGGAACTCACCTTTCCCCGTCCCTCTCCGGTTCAGGCCTCCTCTCCACGTGGTCCTTGTCCTCCCTTAGGAAGACTTCATCCTCTACCGTCTCAAGCAGAGGCGCGGGGGGACCCGGCCTCTCGGGAGGCGCGGAGTCACGCAGAGCAGCAGACGAGACGAGGTGGCTGGGCACTTCGGAAAACTCTCTGCTTTCAGGAGGGGCTGTCCTTCCCGGGGACGTCTGAACGCCCGCAGCGTGCCGGGCCTCCCTCGCCTCCCCTCCGGTCCACAGTGTTTCCACTCCTTGAAACGCCACATGCTTGCCCGGGCCTGGGCGTCCCCGAGCACCCTGGTCAGACCTCCTCTCTCTCAACAAACCACCACCACCCGCTGAGCTGTGGGTTGCGGGGCTGCCCACTGAGGACGCTGGACCAGCTGGCTCTTGCACGTGGACAGCCCCCTTTCGTCCATTACTAGCTCTTAGGGATGGCTCTGCTTGAGTCTCTCCAGTTAATAGTGCAGTCAGATCCTCCTGGATGCTCAAATAAAAATGTTCCTCAGTCGGAACTTTGGCTGAAAGAGGTATATCGGGCGACTTTTCACGGCCAGCAGGGAACAGCGCGTGGGCTTTCGCTGCTTTCTGACTGGCGGTGTCTGGCTCCTGTTCCCCCTGCTGAGCTGAACCAGTAGAAACCGCAGCTCCATCCAGTACCTTTGCAGCCTGCAACGTTCCTGAAGCTATTCTGGCTTCTGTGGCTTTCAGAGCTGAAATCAGAGAGTCGATGTGTTGTAAACTCGGCTCCTTGAAGTGACTTTGAGAAGGGAGCCCTCTGACATCTTTTGGTCCTCCGGCGACACCGACAGGCCCGGAGTGACAGCCGGCAAGGGGCTGGGCCCCCTGTGGCGCCCCCCGGCAGAGCAGCAGAGACTCGGCATCAAACTCCAGAGAGGCTCTCAGGCCTTCTCCACTTCCCTCCATGGTCCCATACTCCGGAAACTCATTCGTGACGTTCGGGGGGAGTAAAGTGCTTCCTCCATGATCACCTGCAAAGAGAAGAGAAGAGACACGTGACTCGTCCTGAGCGGCACATTCCCATGTGTGTGAATCAATTCCCACACCTATCGGGCGCTCGGTCGTCCTCAGGTGGCCCTTTCACTGGCACCTCCCCCGCCCTCTGCAACACAAGCTGCTCAACACCCTGCCAGGGCGTCCCCGCCACTGGGCTTACACACGAGAACCCACAGAGGTGCTGGCATAGACAGAGGCAATCCAATGTAATCCAGCTTCTTTCCCACACATGCAACTCGGTTGCTGCATATGCAAAAACAGATTAAAATAAGGATATGTATCCCTTTCCAAATATCGCTCATGAAACAGCAACTAAAATATTTATACTGGGCACAACAACAAATTGCTTTATGACTGAACTAACAGGATTGCTGCAGTGCAATCTCTGAGACGGAGCCCCAGGAAAAACGATATGATCTATTTAAAGTCAGTAAATATTTTTTTCAGCTGGAAACTTCCCCTGCACTGTTGGGTTTCTGTGGGGGGAGAAAGATGCTTTCTGAACATCTCTGGGGAATGAAAGTGAAGTCAAAATGGAATAGGAAATTTAATGTATAAAGATTTCCAGGATCCTAGCTGCATGAAATTTAAGCAGCATCTTATGCAGAACCCCAATATACGAAGCAGTAAAAACAACAGTATATACTTACTATATAGGATCCAATTAACAACCTTTTCTTATTACTATGGCAGTTACTGAGAACAAGGAAGACATTCTGACAAACACAATTTTAAATTGAGGATTTCTGGGTAACAGTTACAGTCCTCTCACCCCAGGAGGACTGGGTTTCCTTCTGAACTTGGTTTTGGTTACCTCGTACTGAAAATATTCTCATGTGCACTGGGAATGCAGTGTCCTCGCCTAGACAGTTTTATGACAGATGACACCTGTTGCTTTTGTTACTGCTTTTCAAGCACTGCAAGTGACAGTGAAACATTTGACAGCTGTCTGAATATATACAATGAAATGACATGAAAGACTTGATTCCAAGGCATATATGCAAAATGACGTAACTTGGAAACGTGAGTTAACATTTGGTATACACAGTACAGAAAAACTGATAAATAGTAATACATCTTAGAGTGTGTTCTGTTTCATATCATTTTAATAATCTGAAATATATTTTTAAATTAAATTTGAATCAACCTTGATGGGATCCAAGCAGCACTTCTCTGTGATGGTAGCATTTATAACAACTTCACAAGACAGATTTCAGAGGATGTGGCTTGCTGAAATCTGAGGAGGGAGGAACTTTCAAACTATGATTTTGAAAAGGAACAGAGTTAAAAGCAATAAAGATTTCTCTTCCTGTGGTATATTGACAGTTTAGATATTTCAATAAAGAATGTGATAGGACTTTTAATTTTTCCCCTTTTAAGATTCAGTTACCTTTAATATATTATAAAATTGTGCAACCATCACCACTATTTAACTCTAGAACATTTTCATCACCTCCCAGCACCACCAAAAAACCTCTATCTATTAACCGTCACTCTTCAAGCCCTGGTAAATACCATCCTACCTTCTGTCTCTATAGATTTGTGTGTTCTACTTCGTATCAACAGAATTACACAATATGTGACACTCTTTTTTTTTACATAGCCCAGCAGTTTCAAGGTTCATCCTTGTACCTTCTTTCCACTCATCTGCTGATGGGCATTGGTGTTATTTCCACATTTTGGCTACTATGAATAATGAACATTTGTGTACAAATTTTTGTGTCTACATTTATTTTCAGTTCTCTTGGATATATACCTATGAGTGGATTCTGGGTCACATGGTAACTCTGTGTTTAATGTTTGGAGAAACCACCAGCTTTCCAAAGCAACTGCACCATTTTACATTCCTACCAGCAAAGTCTGAGGGTTCTAATACTGTCCATATTTTTTATCACAGCTGTCATAGTGGGTGTGAAATGACACCTCACTGTGGTTTTGATTTGCATTTCCCTAGTGAGAAGGGAGTAGAAGGAAAATGGCAACCTACTCCAGTACTCTTGCCTGGAGAATCCCATGGATGGAGGAGCCTGGTAGGCTGCAGTCCATGGGGTCGCTAAGGGTCGGACACAACTGAGCGACTTCACTTTCACTTTTCACTTTCATGACTTGGAGAAGGAAATGGCAACCCACTCCAGTGTTCTTGCCTGGAGAATCTCAGGGACGAGGGTACCTGGTGGGCTGCCGTCTATGGGGTTACAGAGTCGGACACGACTGAAGCGACTTAGCAGTAGCAGCAGTGAGAAAGGAATGGCAACCCACTCCAGTATTCTTGCCTGAAGAACCCTATGTACAGAGGATCCTGGTGGTCTACAGTTCACAGGGTCGCACACAGTCGGACACCACTAAAGAGACTTAACACATACATGCACAGTGGTTAATGGTGTTGAGAATCTTGTCACATGCTTGTTGACCATTTGTATGGGTTCTTCAGAGAAATAGCCATCCAAATCCTTTGCCCATTTTATAACTGGGTAACTTCTCTTTTCACTATTGAGTTGTAAGACTCCTTTATATATTCTGAACAGAAGCTCCTTATCAGACATATACTTTGCAAATATTTTCTTCCATCCTGTGGGTTGTCTTTCCAGTTAGTTTATGGTGCCTTTTTGAAGCACAATTCTTTTTTAAATTTTGATAAAATCCAACTTATCTATTTTTTTATTTTGTTGCTTATGTTTCTGGTGTCATAAGTAACAGTTCAGTTCAGTCACTCAGTCATGTCTGACTCTTTGTGACCCCATGGACTGCAGCACACCAGGCTTCCCTGTCCATCACCAACTCCCAGAATCCACCCAAACCCATGTCCATTGAGTCAGTGATGCCATCCAACCATCTTATCCTCTGTCGTCCCCTTCTCCTCCTGCCCTCAATCTTTCCCAGCATCAGGAACAAATTATTGTCTAATACAAGGTCACAAAGATTTATTCTTTTTTTAAGAGTTTTACAGTGTTAGCTACTACATGCAGACCTTCGATCCATTCTGAGTTAACTTTTTACAAGGTGTGGAGATATAACTTCACTCTGTCACACGTGGCTATCCACTTGTCCAAGCACTGCTGCTGAAAAACCTATTACTTCCCCCACTGAACTGCAATAATACCCTTGAAGAAAATCAACTGACCATAAACGTGAAGGTTTATGTCTGGACTCTGAATTCCACTCCATTGAGCCTGAAGCCAGTGTAACGCCATCTTGATTACCGTAGCTGTGCAGAAGTAGAATCAGTAAGTGTGGGTCCTCCTGCTTTGTTCTTCCTTTTCCTGGTTGTTGTGGCTACTCTGGGCCCCTAGCATTTCCCGCATGAATCTTAGGATCAGCTGCTAGACAGCTCAAACTGTCATAGAGGCTGGGATCAATCTGTGGAGCACTGCATCCTAACAACACCACTATCAGGTCTTTTGATCCACGACTATAGGATGTCTCTCCATTTAATTTTCTTTCATTTCTCTTAACATCTTTTTGTTTCAAGTGTACAAGTTTGACACTACTTTTGTTAAACTTACTCCCCTAAGTATTTTCTGTTTGATGCTATTATAAGTAGAATTTTTCCCATTTCAGATCCTTCACTGCTAGCATATAGAAATACAGCTGGTTGCCGAACTTACAAGTTCTAATGGTTTCTTTGTGGATTCCTTCAGTTCAGTTCAGTTCAGTCGCTCAGTCATGTCCGACTCTTTGCGACCCCATGAATCGCAGCACGACGTGGATTCCTTAGGCTTTCCTATATACAAGATCATGTTATCTGTGAACAGAGGAAGTTTTACTTTTTTTCTTTCTTATCTGGATGGCTTTTATTTCTTTTTTTTGCCTGACAGCACTGGCCAGAACCTCCAGTACAATGCTCCACAGAAGTGGTAAGAGGTAGACGTCTGTGTGTCATTCTGGATCTTACAAGAAAGCTTTCAGCCTTCCCCCATGAAGTATGATGTTAGCTGTGGGGTTTTCACAAATGCCCTCGATCAGAATAAGGAAGATCCATTTTATTTCTAGTTTATCAAGTGTTTCTATCATGAAAAGGTACCAAATTTTGTCAAATGTCTTTTTCTCTGTCAGTTGAGATTCCCATGTGGATTCTGTCTTTTATTCTAGTCAGAGTGTATTACACCAACAGACTTCTATATACTGAACCAACCTTGCAATCTTGGAATAAATGCCACTTGGTCATGCTGTAGAATCCTTTTTTACATGATGATAGATTCAGCTTTCTAGTGTTTTTGCACCTATATTCATAAATGATACTGGGCTATAATTGTCTTGCGCTATCTAGTGTGGGCAGTAACATTGGCGTCATAAAATAATTTGGGAAGTACTGGCATTTGTTTACATCTTTTTACACGTTTTTAAAAACATTTTTCATATTTTACACTTTTTAGGCTTTTAACAGTTTTTTTCTTCCTTAATCATATGGGGGACTTAAAATTCTTCTGGTAGCTTAAAAGCTATAAATTTATTGCTAAAATACAAAGAAAGAAAAAGTATACAATCCAAAAGCATGGGCTTTTTTAACATAGTAAAATAGCTTTAAATTATTAGAAAAGTACTTAGTTCACAGGGGGAAATATTTCCTATAGAGGTTTTATTTAAGTGAGAGTATGTCTTTACAAGGGGCTTCGCAGGTAGTTCAAAGGTAAAGAATCTGCCTGCCAGTGCAGGAGACCCAGGTTAGATCCCTGAGTCAGGAAGATCCCCTGGAGAAAGAAATGGCAACCCAGTCCAGTATTCTTGCCTGGAGAATCCCATGGACATATCAGCCTGGCAGGCTACAGTCCATGGAGTCACAAGAGAGTCAGACATGACTTAGCGACCAAATAATAACAAATGCCTTTACAAAAACTTGAAGATCATACAATATAAAATGGCAAAAGTCAGAGGAATCCAAGAATTAATTCAGTTACCTTACATAATTAGCAAGAAAACAGGCCCATCAGAATAATGGACTTGCCAACATGACAACAAAAACCAGAGTTTATCTAAT